ATACTAAGAAGGACATTTGCAAAGCACTTAGTTCTTAATGCCATAGAATTCCAGACAGCAGAAATTATCTTCATGTCAACATCAACACTGGGGACTGCAAGCACTGTGATGCTTAATGCTGACCAGCTGTGCTTGAAGCTTTGTTTTAAAGTCCTCTCAATATGTCTTTAACTGCAGCACCTTCCAAATTAAGCATACTTTTCTGATGATGGGGTAGTAGAAATGTCATTAATGTTTGAATTGACATAACTATCAGATTAGTTAAATCAGTGACACAATTTTACATGTAGGAGAAGGATGATGCTGCAGATGAAAGAGCCATTGCCAGATGATTTTTTTATATTCAATCCCATGTAATGCTGCAGAAAATGGAAGAAAGCATGTGAACTGGAAAATCCTGGAAAATGAGCCCAGAGAGATGCTCCAGAGCCAGAGTGTGCAGAAGGTCAATGCAGAACTGCCTGTTCCCTTGCTTGCCATGAGGGCAGCATCAAACTCACGGTGTGTGTTTGCTTTCCTTAGCACTTTTGGGGACTCACAGCCTGGCAACTGCATGAATTCATTTTACCTGACTACAGAGGTGAAGTACTGAAAATTGGAGCCCAGCCACCATAAGCTCTTTTGTGGTTCCTGGAAGCAAAATATTGTTTCTCAGACCATAAGTGGATCACCTGAAAGAGGTGTGCCTCTCTGAGGGTGCACCCTTCAGAGGGTGACCACACACATGGCTTAGAATGCCAGCTACATTCCTTGAATTGGGAGATATGACTGCTGGCCAACGAGCATGTGAAAATGAGCTACATATCAAAGAAAATATTGAGCACTACTGGAACATATGGACTAGTTTGATCCTTACAGTAGAACATATGGACTAGTTTGATCCTTAGTTTTAAACAGTCCATATCTTCAAGCCTCACTGTGTGTGTAACAATATCAAAACTTAGGGAAAGACAGAAAAGGCCAGGGAAAAATTTGCATTCTGGGAGGTGAGAGTATTTAAAGGAAGAGTGGATTTTTTTATTTACAGGTCTTTGTTATGTGGAAATCCTGAAACGCTGATCAACAGTAAGTTTTGTCATGGAGTCCCCAGATGAGGAAAAGTAAGGAAACCATTCAACAGCACATAAGGACAAATGTGGATGTATTGCAAAATCAAATGTTTCTAATAAAAAGTGATCTGTCCCAGCCACTACTTAAGGTAAACAGTGAACTCCTTTGTTCCAAAATTTATTGAAAATAACTAGTTAAAATGCATTTTTAGATTTTGTGTCTAAACAAATGAAAATCAGAGATAATACTCTGATGTGTTCTGAAAGAACACATATTCAAAGAACTGTACTTTAGAGTATACACATGACAGCTGAGGCTTCACTTAGGATATCCTTTGACCTTCTCACTGTGAAGATGAGAGAGCAGCAAAGATGAAGAACATTAAGAAAGCTGCAAGCTATAAGGAACAAGATGGAAAGGACATGTAGTTTAAACAAAATATAGAACTTTTAAGGAGCTTTTGAGAGAAATAAGATAAAAGAGAGAGACTTGATTATGGTTGCTCAAGGAAAATGTTCACCTAAAACACAACAAATTTAGATTAGATGTGAGGACAAATCTCCAAATAAGAGTTATTCATCAATAGAGAAGTCTGCCAAGAGAAACTTCTGGGGTATCAGAAAAGGAAATACTTAAAGGGAGATTAGATAGTATACTCAAAATAGTGAAGCAGATAAACCTGTAAAATATGCAAAAGACTGGAGTGGATAGCTTGTTTCAGGCTATACTAACTTCTTTCAGCCCATACTTTGGAGTCTTTGTTTAGAACTTTACATATAAAAATTCCTTTACAGGATTTGGCTTGTGAAAGGAGTAAAGATCCAGTTCTGCAAAGTCTTAAGCATTTTAAAATTCCCTAGTTATGCAAGTACCCTCTCTGAATTCAGTTTATTTCAACTTAGTTCATATTATTATATACATATAATACAGAGTGACCAGAAATGCTCCCTAACTGCCTTAATTAAAAACTGACAATCCTTTGACAGCAAGCAAAGGATTGTAGCTGAAGGCTGGCAGGTAGGAAACAACAGAGGTAAATTTTCATCTACTCTAAAGGAAATATGTCTCCTCCATTCTTCCATTGTCTCCTGCTACCCAAGGTTTGCTGGTCAGTGACACCTGGGCCTCCTTAAACTGGAGTCTTCTTCCCAAGGATTTTATTACTTTAACTCACAAACAGTCTTCTGATGTAGATTTAAATGCTGTTAAATAATAAGTTCAGGAGAGCCACAGGAATGAAAAGGAGGAGGTTTTATCATGCCAGACTGCTCCATCATTATTCTATTCTTTTGGCCCTGCCACACAGTATCTACATTGCCAGTCACAAACCAAGGCAAAGGGAAACCATTGCCCTGATGCCTCCGGTTTTAGCTTTTATATTTTTCAGATTCTGTACTGCTTTAGTGTAGTTCTGTGCTTCATATTAGGGAATAGTAAGCTCTCTTCACAGAGTAGGTAGAAAAAATAATTCCTTTCCTAGCATGGGACCAGGGACAAAGGATCCAAATGTCAGGCCCAAGAGCATAAACAACGGTGGATTGAAGAAAACAAGAAAACAAGAAAACAAGAAAACAAGAAAACAAGAAAACAAGAAGGATGTGACTTTAAGAAAACAAGAAGGATGTGACTTTATAAGGTGAAGCTATAATTGGACAATTAACTCCAATATGCTAATGGACCAGAACCTATGAAAGTGTGAGACCCTGTGACCCATCGTCCATTTTGTGACCATTTTGGGTTCATCTTGGGTGTAGCCTTGGCTGGGCTCTTGTGCTGCCTAAGGTGAGGGCCTTTTGAGGCCTTTTAATAAATGCCTACTTTATTCTTTATCTCTGTCTATCCTCTGCTCTAGGTCAGCCTTCTCAAGGCTTCACCCTGCCGAGCCAATTGCTCTCTCAAGCAGCATTTGACACCTGGTGTAGTATGCTGGGATGCGGAGTAATTAAGCTTAAGCTCACTTGTCAAGGCAGCTCTCAGGTATGCAAAAGGCACAACAATCATCTCTGTGTGCATGGAGGCCACCTTACCCTATAGCAGCATCTTCTGTAATCAGATTCCTGCCATAGGGAATGTCTTCCCAGATCCATAATGCAGCTGCCTCCACTTCTGAGCTATGGGCTGTTGCTGCATTTGAAGTCAGCACTTCCAGGGCTCGGTTTAGATCAGCTATTTTAGGCATCTGCTTTAGGAATTATGCCCTCTAAGTGCCTACTTTTCTCTGGGGACTGTAAAGTGAATATTGATCGTTGGCAGACACTTTGTCAGCTGATTCCCACCTCTAGATATTTATTTTTCTGTAAAATTTGGCATCACCTTACCAACTACGGCAAGTAGTCAGACAGTAGGAAAGTAGCAGATCTGTCACTGGAGGAATAGAAGCAAATAATCAAATAACCTCTAACCAGTCATCTTCACTGCCAGGGTCCCTGGAGACATTATGTGCAATAAAGAAAGTTTAGCTATTTGTTCTTGTAACTAAATATAATCACATCTGTAAGTATTTGGTGGGTAGAAGCTGGCTGGTTGGATTACTTTTTAGTTTTTTAATTTTTTTTTTGTTTGTTTAACTTCACAGGAGTGCTGACTGTTCTAACTCTATTTAATAGAGAGAAACAGCAAGCTAATATTTTTTTCATATCTTTTTCAAAGCCCTCCTGAAACACATTGTACTCTTCTAAGCAGGAAACTAACTGGTCTGTGAATATTGTTTCAGACCCACATTTTGACCAATTCTAAAAGGAATTAGACCTGCATAAATAATTAAAAATAATTTATCTGTTAAAAATCTACAGACTATTGCACAAACATGTTGGTTCAATCCAAGTTAATCACAAAGGTGAGGAAAAAATGCTTAATTAATGGCAGATACAGAAAAAGAAGTTTAATTAAATCTAACTGTTAAGAAACTTAGACTGTGAGCTGATCTATAGCTAGGAAAATGTAGTCACTGTCCTTGGGGTTCCATTATCCTGGCAACAACATCTACTTTTTCTCCTTTCCTATTTCCTCTGTTGCTTAAACACCTCTTGTTACTCTCTCTTCCAGTAATATTGAAGGTGTAATTGAAGGAAGAAGTGGATAAAATTGTTCAGCCCATTATGGAAAATACTGCAGCACATTTTTCAATGAATTTGAAAATACTGCCAGTTGTGTCTAAAAATTAAAGGTAGTACTATTTTGTTTACAATCCAGGAGTTTTGAGTTTACAACAGTGTTAGAATGACAGCCTTCATGGAAGCAAAAAACAATTTTGTTCACTTTGTGAACTCATATGTCAAGGAAAATGAGAGAGTTTAAAGAAGTATCTCTTTTTTATAGCCTAGAGATGCCAGAACAACTTAAAGTGCTTAGAAATCTCTGTAAGCATGACCAAAAATCTCTGTGAGAAGCGAGGGCAACTTTCATTCCCTGAATATTTCACTCTTCTCTATTGGAATATAAGCTTTCTGCATGCTTTGTCTCTAAACTTGATTGAAAAAATCTGACAGGACCTGTTGTGACATGCACTCCAAAGAGAAGCATCAGAATTTACATAGAATATTTAAATACTGATTTCATTTTGCATAAAAAATTATTTATTCCACTGTTGAAGCAATTAAATGTACTTCAGTTGACACACTTCAAAATGATACTGAGTAACACTTGCCCTTCTTTAGGAAATTATGTATCAATGGCCTCTCTCATCCTGTTCAAAAGGCTTGAAGGTGGCTTGCACTTTAAAAAGGAAAAAATATTACTTATTCTTCATGGTGTTGAAAGTCTGAAATAGGAAGGACATTTTCGTCTTTGACATTTGCATCAGTTGTAGGCTTAGAAAAAGCCAAATCTAGGTACTTAGACCAGTACCTATAGATTTATTTATAAAACACTATTTGGGGTCATTCAATAATGAAGAAATGACACTGTGATATTGGAAACAAGGTATTTTAGAGCAGACAGGGACACAAAGCTTTAGCTGTTTATGTTTATTGAGTGCTACTACTTATAATAATTTCATAAAGTTTGCAATATTAGCAGTTATCTCAAGTGAAGTTCCAGTTCAGTTAAATCTGCTCCATGCATTTTCTTCACCTTCGACTTCTTCACCTGAGCAACTGTATTCAATGGCCATGTCCAGCAAAATCCACAGCAGACTTCTAAAAAGTGAAAAATCAGGATAGTCAACCATCAGTATTTGAAAATGTGGTCTTGTATCAAGATTATTCAAAATATTATACTTCAGTTGATGTTCAGACCACAAGAAAACTTTGCACTTTACTGTGCTCTTTCCCAGGTCTATAACATCTCCAACACATCCAAGAAGGGATTCCCAACACCCTTCTCTTCAATCCTTTTCCCAGTACAAGCAGTATGTAGCTTTCTCCTGAGCAGCCTCAGTACAACAGCCCAAAAAGTTTCAGCCCATGATGTGTTCTCTCACCAGCTGGAGCTGCTGTTTGTCTGTGTGGGTGGGGATGTGTATACAGGCTCAAGATTCTCATTGATCCTAGGTGGAAGGGCAGCTCCTTCCCCTTACCTTTTCATGTATCTGCAACTTATTTCTGGCTTGCAAGAAACTGGAAGAACCAGTCACTCATTGCTGCTGGGTGGGAGTGCTGGTAGGTGGAGTGACCCCAGCTGTTTGTTTGTTGAGAGGCTACTGAACTGTTTGGAAAGGAGGTGATACTGCTGACATTGGCTTCACCTCTGCAGGGTTCAGCTGGTACATATATGATATGGCTTCCTGTACAACCTAAAAAAAGTTACAAATCCCGTAATTCATCTTTTGAATTTACATAAAGGAAAGGGAGTTCTGAGGTAAAAACAAATTAGCAATGTTAAAAATTACTGAGAAAACGTAAGTCAAGAGACATCAGAAAGTGATACACCAATCATAGTTACAATGAATGGGGCAAAAATCTTTTCCACATTACCATTTAAGATAAAGGGTACAAAATTATGATAAACACATTCTGTATCGAGGATGAAAGCAGGATTCATGACACGATGTTTGTGGTTTTCAAATTCTAGCAGAGCAGAAACAGGCAGCAAACAGCGATGTGGTTTCTCCAATTTGATTATTTGATTGCGAAGTTGGCATAGCATTGTGGGCAGTAACTAGAGAGGATGATCTTTCCTTCTATAAAATATAGCTCAATCCAAGAAGTTATTTCCAAATTATCACAAGCAATGGGGAACACTTGTATTGAAATAATAAGGGAACTTTGGGCAAGATACATTTAGGAGATGGGATAAAGGGGTGAACCTGGGCGCCACTGTTTCAGGGGAAGGAAAACAGTGGAGCTCTGGTCCAGGTTTCCAGCTCCACTCCCTTCGAAGGGAGGCCCCCCCACAGCAAAGGGGAAAGCTCTCTTACAAAGGGCTGGCTCACTGCAGGATGGTGCAGGGCCATTGGGGGATGGGTGGGGCTGGCGGGAAAACGTTGGCAGAAGAGAAGGGTCAAGGTGGGAAAATTGGGTCCCTGTAGCATGGCCAGCACCATCTTGAGAGGGGGGGCCAGGTGCACTGCATCTCGCCTGGGGAGGCACGGCCAATGCCGCCCCTAAGGGAGGATAACAGTGTCCGGCAGGGCGCTTGGGGCAGCTCGGCTGCTGCCATCCCCAAGGGAAAAGGTTGGGGGAAGTCTGTGGGGAAAAGGGAAGGGGGGGCTTCGCAGAAGCCGAGGGGAAAATCTACAGGAGAGGGGCCCGACGCGGCTGGAAGCCAACAAAATGCATGGATGTGAATTGCCTCTCTTAGGATGTTAACAATTCTCCCATAGCTGACGTGTCGCCATTTACAATTCTGTCCCTTTGGTGTCCTTTCGGCCCCCCCTGCCCCCATAGCCCAGAATAGGGTGGAGAGGGTAGAAAAGGCAGCTTTCCGAGAAAGAGAAGGAGCTTTCCAGTATGAGTTACCCCAAAAAGACCGAGCGAGGTTGCGTCCTCCTCGGAAAAGAAAAAGCCTCCTGGCTGCCAGGAACATGCAGGGCTACAGCCCCCGTCTGGATGAGGATGGTGGTTAAAACACAGAAAAGAAATAAAGGTAGCCCAGCCACCCGCCAGGGTCCCCATCCTGCTCTGACCCAACTTGCCCTCCGGGCTCGGACAGGGAAATCTCTATCTCTCTCCTCGGTGGTGGAAAATTGCGCTGAACTGAGGAGGTATTCTTTCGCAGTTTGTCTCTCCCAGAAGCCTGGGTGTTCCCGTTAACCAGAGCTCGTCCCTGAAACTTTGGGTTCAGCCACTGTCAGTCTCTGGTCTCCATTCAAATGCTGTCCCCTGATGGGCCAGTCTTCGGAGCTCAGTCCATTGAGCCACCTGCCAAACTGTCCTCTTCCTCCTCGGGTAAGTCTACCTGGCTCCCAGTCCCTGCAGTCCCACTGCCCCCGCAGTGCGGGTGCTCCCGGGCGGGTTAGAGAGCACGCCGGCGAGGACGGAAGAGGGTCCCCGGAGCTTCAGGTTTGTTTTCCGCCCAGCGAGTCCACTCCTCTTAGCGTGAACAGAGCTCTTACAGTGGCAGAAGTCCTTTCTCTCTCCCCCTTTCACAAATCAATGGAAATAACCATCCTCTGCTGCCATTTGTTGCCGTGCGAGATCGGCTCTGGGCGGGCACCTGCAGGAGCACGGTGAGGAGGGAAGAGGCGGCGGCCGCTTTCCCCTCGTCTCTGCGAGGCTCAGTTCTAGCACAGGAACAGACGAAATGGCGACACGGGGCTTGGGTGCAAACACGTGTTTATTGCAGAAGCGTGTTCCCGAGACCATGGGGCACCGATCTGAGGGTGGGTTATACCCCATTCTGGGGGTGGGGGGGGAACCTGAGCCGCGGCAAATAGGATGGGAGGCAGGGGAAGCCCTGGAGACTCCGGGAGGCAGGAGCAGCAATGGGAAAGGCCGGGTGGGGTGGGGGGGGGAGCAGGGACAGACCGCGTGGCGAGGGGGAGTGATAAGGATCGGGACAAGGAACAGCAGGGGGAGCGGGGAGGGATAATGGGGGGGAAGAAGAGAAAGTTACAAATCCCGCAAATGGGGAAATTCTGCCCTAGAGGAGCAGGCTGCACAATGGCTTTTTTTGAAAGTTATATGGATTAACCTGAAAACACTTTCCAATATTCATCTTACTTGCATATTAAATGATTCCTTGGCTCAATTCACCTTGTCATATTTGCTCCCAAGCTATGGAAGTAACAGATTATTAAGCTCAACAACTGTTCAGGCCCAAGGTTTATCCCTGGACAATGCCTTCAGAAAAGCTGGGAGAAGGCAGAACTTTCTCTGCTTTCGGAGAATGGTGATGCTAACATGCAAGAAAGAGAAGAGTGGTACAGTGTTTTGTAGTTACTTATGTAGAGAAGACAGCTTTTGAGATGTAATTCCACTGTTAAAACTCAGGGGAGACAGTTCAGGTGGTAAACTGTGATGTCTCTATAATCATCCACAGTGTACATTTCCTTGATATCCCTGTGTTCCTGCAGTAGGTTGTGCATATATTTACAAATGTGTGCCTGATTTTTTTCTTTCTTGCAAGTATGAGATATATGATACATGTGACAAGCCAGCTCATTAGCATGACAGCAAGGTGCCCCAGTGTGTTTGATACTACAGTTTTAAGACATAGGTGACAGTAAGGTGCTAGAAAATAGGTAACAAAAGAATAATGTTCTGCATCCCTTTATTTTGGACAGCAAAGACTTTAGAGCTAGTTAGGAATTTTTCCTTTTTTTTTTTTTTTTTTCTTCTTCTGGTCTCTGTGGTTCTGTGGTATGAAGTATGTATCCCTTGGAATTCTTCTTCAGAAACATGCCAGCTTGAGGTTTCTTCTATTTCCAGCGAACAAGAAGATAATTGAAACCCTTCCTGAGTTACAGCTATGTTTCCTGCTGGAGACAGTGACAGATCCAGCAAAGCAGTGAGAACACTGAAATGCAGAAAACATTTGCTGTGTTATTCCCTTCATACTTTTAACACATACAGCAATTCCCTGGACCAGACCACAGATTCTAAGAGGCAAATAGCAAGAGATGACTGAAAAACAGATAGGAGCAGAAAATTATTTATTTTTCTGCAGCCTGTGAAAGTGCCAAACCTATCAGTCTACAACACAGCACACCAGCCTGGCTGCTGAGGGGCAAGGAGGGGTGCAGCTCCAATGGCCATTCACCACCTTGTTTCTCTGCTGAAAGCAGTTACCTGCCTGTTGTAGCAGTGGGTTGATTTGTGCCAGGAACACCTGCCTGGGATGAGTGGTGTGGTTATCCCCACTGTGGGGATTGTCTGCCTTTCCAGCTGCTTCTCTGAGAATCTGGGGTCTTCTCTACTTAGTCCCTTTGTGGTGGGATCTTTGTTTCCCCTTGTATCTGCACCCATAGCCTAGGTGAATATAAGGTAAAGCCCACCTGTGAGACATGGCAGCTACAGAAATCTGATGTTACCATAGGGTACAATAGGTTTTTGTCTGATGTGATGGGACACTCAGACTATGATGGTAGCAACTAGCTGGGCTGCATTTTGTTTCTTCATTGTAAATGGAAATGTTTATATTTCTAAGAAACAAAAAAAATCCACTCAAAGAAAAAAAAATATATTGGAAAGTGTTTCTCAGATTCCAGATGGACTCTTCTGTCAACAGCTGCTGGGTAGGGAATACAGAGCTGTCAAATCTGTATCTGTGTTATGCCCATTGTACACTCCTCTGAAAAGGAATCTGTTGGCAAGCAGCAGCACAAATTTGCTGCCCCTGGGGTGTCCAGCAGAGAGCAGGGCAGACAGAGCAGCAGTGCTGTGCTGAGCAGGAGTGGGACTCTGTGGAAGCTGGCATGGTGTGGTTGAGCTCAGCAAGGAACATCCACGGCCTGTCCTTGGATGTAGGATGCATCTCTTATGTGATTGGACACCTATATTTTTATATGGGTTGGATATGTAAATTTTAAACTGATGTAAATTATGAAAATTCTACCTTTGAGTTCTCTACAAAATTCATGCACAGGCTATCCCAAACACAGGTAAGATTTCTCTATGATTGCAACATACAAAATACTGATCACTGTATTTTACATGATGATAAAAGTGCACTTTTTCCCCTCATTTTGATATTGAAAAATAAAGATCATTTGAGCATCATATTCTTTCTGCCTTACACTGGAATTATATTCAAATATTCATGAACAAATAAAGCACCATTATTCTATTCTTTAAGCTGTATTGAGCTTTTTGCAAAATGATTCAAGATTTTGTAATGCTTCTTTTACATTTACCCTGCAGAAATTCTCATTAAATAAAAACAAGGAAAAAGAATATTGCCAATACTTGGATATTTTTACAATAATAAAGACTGTATTCTGCTATGAGCTAGGAAGACAAGAGATGTAGCTTTCACAAAACACTGAGTCCCTCTTTTTGGCTTCTGTTTAAAACTAACCAATTGGAAGAGAAATATGGAAAGAAAAGATTTCAGAATTTAACAAACCAGTGTAAAATCTGCTACTGTCTTTTGATTACAAATATAGCACTTGTATTTCCTAAATGTATGTTCTTTTTAGCATAAGTTGTGTTACTAAATGCATAGCCTAATGTGTAAGGATGTGAGTGAATAATACACTAGGAACAAATTTGAAAACATAACATAAAAAGTAAAAGAGGGAGACAGGCCTGCACATAATTTATATTTTCAAAAATGTATTCTTATTTTTTTCCATAAAATAAATGGGGGAAGAGAATGGCAAATTTTCTATACATTGTCTTCCAAAAACAAAAAAATAGTTGGAGCTTTTTCTGACTGTAATGAAGCAACTTACTGGGTGGTGCAAGTAGAGAAGGGAAGCATCAGATGTTTTTAAGAAAG